ATGGTTTAAGGTATTCTTTAAAATCATTTTTCTAGCCTGTCTAAACTATATATTTCCCAAATCTTATGCAGTTAGTGAAGACTTCTACTACAAGTGAACCATAACCATGTTAACTTAGGATCAGGAAAGGAAGAGGGTGAACGTTCCGGGAGCCTGACAAAGCTCTTGTTCATTGAGCATCTACTACATGCCAGGACCGTGCAAGCTGCTGACGTGGAACAGAAAGGTCTCTGTGAAAATGCAAAGGAAGTCTGTAAAGTTCATGTAGGATGTGTCAATGCATTTCCCACTAAGATGTTAAAAAGTCTGAGATGAGCACAGAAAAGGAGGGAAAAGAACATGTTTCCCCACATATTGTATTAGTCCTTGAAGAAAAGGACAATGTTATGGGCTCTCCTATCCGGTCCGTACTGAGAACAGTGCTGTGCACAAAGCAGAGATCAATTAATGTTTATAAAATAAATGATGATTAGAAACTGAGACCCAGAGTGGGTGTCTTAGAGAAGGTCTTGCAGTCAGTGGCAGAGTTTGAGACCTTCCATAAGCATCCTGGCTTTTCTTTCTGTAACACTGACCAAGACTGCGGGTTATTCCTCGTACTCTTTCTCCCCTTATTTCACGGTAATAGAAGCCCAAGTCCCTAGCTGGGCAAACAGCTACCTGGGGTAAAGATCCCATTTCTGTACAGTCCTCAGTTAGACGTGTCCATGTGACTAGGTCTAGGCCAAAAAGATGCAAGCAGATTGATATCTACAGCTTCCAGCAAGAGTCTTGCACGGGGCATGCCATCCTTTATCCTTGTGTCCCTTCTTTCTGGATAGAATGTGGCCATGGTAGTGGAGTGGGAGCAGTCATCTTGGACGAAACCTAAAAATTGTGTTCATGACAATACAATGGAGACTCAAGAAAGAGGGAGCCAGGGATTGTGACTCCCCTGGACCCGCCTGGACCACTGGTGTTTGGTGAGGAAGAGAAATGCATTTTTACATCTTGTTTAAGGCACTGTAATACTTTGGGTTCTCTGTCACAGCTGAAATTCACCCTAACAAATCTGCTACATTTTGACTTCTGAGATAGACCTGAAAGGTAAGCAGGGCCCAAACCACCATGAACAGAAGGGCATCAAAAGACCCATCTTATGGGTAAGTCGGATCAGACTTGGAAAATCAGGGACCATTATATTCTAGAACAGGATGAGAGTTTCAGGATAGAAGAAAGGAAAATATAGAAAAGAAAAATAGGTGGGGTTAAAAGTTTAACCAGGACTGTGATATATTTCAAATACTCAGTGAAGCTGTGGGTAGGGAGAGAAGGGTTACCACTATCATCTATTTCTGTAGCTTTAATTAAATAATCATACAGAAAAGCCAAAAGTAGCAGACCTTGAAGGCAGTAGATAAGGGGAAAAGTCTGATGTTAAGTCATATACTAAATGAAAAGTAACATTAATCATATAACCAAAAGTCCAAATGTTGTTTGGCAAAATCCTAGACACAAATTCAACTTTCCTTTATCTTCTTTGAGAAGTTCAACACGTTCATGATATTTAGAAGTCTTTCAAGTTTGTCACATTTTAAGCCACATATAGAATTTTTGTTGGCACATGAAATTATAATGTAGTATAGGGGTAATTATTTTGAGTTAATATTCCCACAGACAGCAAACTTTAGAGTAATTTAAGAAGGGATACTGATGCAGTAAAATATTTGTAAGGAACTCAACTCAATACTTTCAGGGTTCTGGTAAAATAAAAAAATATTTCTGCCTAGTCACAATTTGTGTTAGCTCTGATTTTATGTATCACAGTATGAACACCAAACCTATATGGCTTTCTCAACCTCTGCCAGGAATTACAATAAGGCCAAATTTCTCATGGAATTTAACAGGGGTATCTTTCTATACCAGTACCTATTATTTATATCAGGCAAGATCTCACATGTTCTCAAATGTAACTTTTAAGGCTTACTTTCCTTTTCTTTGGCATGGGAGAAATGTGGGTTTTGGTTTGGGGTTTGGGGTTGTGATACACAAATCCAATTTTTAAATCACCTTACTTGAACTGCTCTGGAATGTGTTATGCACAAAACATACAATGCCACAGAAATTGCAGCTAATTAATGTAATTAAGGACAAATAGAGGAAAAGAACATTTTGTCCAATGCCCAACTAATGAGCCATTCTTCATCTAAGGATAAGCAAATTGTTTTGGCTCAGGATCCAGCCTAAGACACTGTTAGCACTCCATGAATTTTACTTGGAAGGAAAACGTCAGCTAAAATAATCTTCCTGTAACAAAAATTAATGTGATAAACTTGCTCACAAAACTCGAGCCTTTAATAAACAAGACTGCGTTTCCCAAGATGGGGGGAATGTTTCTACAAGTTGCTTCTTTTCCCCATTATCTCATCTGAGTGTCTAGTGGAAAAACAAATCTGAACATCGTTTATCAAGGCAGTATTATCTACACTGCTGTCCGAAGGAACTAGGAGGGGGATTCTGTGTGAAACGATGGCTGACTTGCATTCTAAATCTAAAAGTTACCCACCCCTTCTGAAGTAGTGCAGCTAACTAGAAAGAGGTCGAAGTACCTGAAACACAAAAAGGAAAAACAAAGGAAGAGACATTTCAAAGGAAGACGAAAGAGAAAAGCAGCTAGAGAAAAGGGAGATAAAGATATGTTTTGGTAGGTCAGTGTATTGTTTTCCCTGGGCTGCCCTAATTACCACAAACTGGGAGGCTTAAAATAACAGAAATTTATCCCTGTCACAGTCTTAGCAGGTTGAAGCATCCAAATCAAGGTGTTGTCACCCGTGCTCCCTCTGAGGGATCTACTGGGGGATCCTTCTTTGCCTCTTGGTAGCTTCTGGTGGTGGCTCCCAACAACCCAGGGGCTCTTTTACCTGGTAGCTGCCCCCTTCTTCACATGGCCTTTGCCTCTTCTGACGGACACCAGTCAATGACTTTAGGACCCACCCTAACTAACTCCGTATGGCCTCCTCCTAATTACATTGTCAGATAAGCTCACATTCTGAGGTTCTAGGTGGACATGAATCTGAGGGGACACTAGTCAACCTATTACAGTGGGGCACAAAGGCCAAACCTGAGTTCTGGCTTCCCCTACCACTGGAGATTGACCTACCGAGAGACAAAATTAGGCTGGCAAGAGAGCAGCAGCCAGAGCAGTAGATGTGGAGAGAGAGCTTGAAGATGGGGGTGTCAGAAGCCCAAAAAGCTGTAATGCCAAGAATGGCAGCCTTGCCCTGGTGGCCGTATCTAGCAGAGTCCATTAGTGTCAAAAACATGCTGATCAGTGGTAATAACAAGTGGGGATTAAAGAGAAGTAGCACCAGCAGTATCTGGAACGCAGAAAGGGATGGAGGAAAGAAGTCTAAGGGGATGACAGTGGACTCCTCTAGGCTCTAATTCTCCAACGGTGTCTCTCGAACTGAGAGTGTTTGGGTCTGTGAGTTCCTCTGAAACATTTATTATTATATGTTTAAAACACAGAGCTAAAGGGGCGCCTGGGTAGCTCAGTCGGTTAAGCGTCCGACTTCATTTCAGGTCATGATCTCACAGTCCGTGAGTTCGAGGCCTGCGTCGGGCTCTGTGCTGACAGCTCAGAGCCTGGAGCCTGCTTTGGATTCTGCGTCTCCCTCTCTCTCTGCCCCTCCCCTGCTCAGGCTCTGTCTCTGTCTCAAAAATAAATAAAAACATTAAAAAAAGTTTTTTATACAGAGCTATGGATACGGATATATTTTAAACGCATATGTATATTTTAACAGGGATATTGATATATTTTAAACACATGTATATTTTAACATGTATATAGATATATTTTAAATACATATGTATATTTTAACATGCACGTGTGTGTGTGTGTGTGTGTGTGTACACACACACACACACACACATATACACCACACATTTGATCCATCTTTGAATTCTAATCAGTCTTCCTAATAGTAATTTTCTTGAGAACACTGTAGCATATTTTAATTCTGTTTTCATTATCATGAAAATCTAGAAAGATACACTATGTGTTCTGGATGATCTGAGAGCTATGCCATTTCAGCATGCAGGTTAGTGGTAACTGTTAAGAGGCTCCTAAGGGGGGTGATTTTCACTGTTGCAAGCTGATGAGAAAGGAAAAGCAGTGAACTCAATACCTAACTTTCACCCCCAAGCCAAGGAAAGGACATCTGCACTATGGCAACACAGAAAAGGCTTTGGCAGTCCAAACAGAGAAAGGGAACAGAAAACAGAATCCTGCTGTAGACATGCAGGCCTCCCAGCACCTAAACCCACTGAAACTATTACAGTGAACTGTTTCTCAAGTTTAAGTTGCTTTGCTCTGAAACTTTGTTACTTTCATAGATTTACTTTTTTCTTTGCTTACAGCACATAAAACCTCATTGCTTTCTAATTGTTCTGCTGAAAGAAGAGCCAACAATATTGCCAATTCTACAATACTGATTATCTATCAATGTTACCATCAACACTATCAATAAGCTATTACTATCAATCCCATTTGTCCCAAGCAGCCTAGCTCAACGAACAAATAAGATCAGAATTTGGTGTTCAAACTATATTTTTATGGGTAGGGTAGTTGACTTTAAGACTTAGATCATCTCTCCGCAAAACATAGATAGCATGTGTCTCCAAGGAAGGTATTAAAATCTCTTCAAAAAGCATTAGAAGGTAAAATGTGTTCATGAAAAATGCAACTTTCTGTCCAATATTTGATTTACATAGTATTAGTCTCATGGATAACTGTGTCGATGTGGATTTAAAAAAATGAAATACTAATTTTTCCATGGTATTTGGTTGACATTTCAGCCAATATTTAAAAAATTCTTTTCTCCTTTGAAAGCTTTCAAATTAAAAAAAATGTTTCCTAAAATAAAAATTGAATAACGAAACACAAAATTACAAGCCCAAAAGACATTATAACCACAATCCTAAATTTGGAATTTTTCAGAGCCATGCCTCAGCAAACCAAGCAAATTAAAAAAGCAAAAGACTTCCTTTCCTTTTGCTGACAGCATAGCCAAAAGTGTCTCTTGTCCCAGGTTCCAGGAAAGGAAGAGACACTTTGGTCACTCAACAGCCTGACAGATTGCCAAGCACTAGGGGGCCACATGGAACAAGCTTCGCAGTCACATGGCAGGTGGGTTCTTCTCTATTCTTTTTTACGTTTATTTATTTTGAGAGAGACAAGGAGTGAGTGGGGGAGGCACAGAGAGAGAGGGGGACATAGGATCCGAAGCGGGCTCTGTACTGACAGCAGAGAGGCCAATGTGGGTCTCGAACACATGAACTGCGAGATCATGACCTGAGCCGAAGTCAGATGCTTAAGTGATGGAGCCACCCAGGTGCCCCAGCTTCTTCTGTATTATTAAGAGAAAGTCATGGCATGTATATGCAAGGTTTCCACCTTTAGATCACTCTATACTTTCCACATGATATAACACACATATACAGCATATAAAACATAAAATATGTACATGTAGCTGATTTTTCATTATTTTGAACTGAAGTCACATCCATTTGCACCTAACCCGTATCTTGCTAGCTGGATGCAAGAAGTTACACTTCCTAAGGGGGCCTCAGGAGTTCAAGAGCAGCCCAGGACCTTTTCACCTTCAGCTTGACAGACTCCAGGTCTAGCACCATCAAATGTCTAAACTGGAAGGAGTGGGAATTCAGGAAGTTTAGGGGAAACATGAACCTTTCCCGTACAGAGTGATTTCCACTTTTAGTGAAAACCCTAAACAGACCTGTGTTTAATTTTTTTTTTCTTTCTAGAACTTAACGTTGTTAACTTAGACTGAAACCCTGGCCCTCTACTTCCCCTATTCTTGGGATCTAACCCTTTTATTTGTACAAGAGAACAAATGCTTCATGGGCACACTGCGGGACAATTTATAAAGTTGAGCACAGCCCCCTACCATGCTTCAAAAGTTCTATGCCTCCTAAGCTTGTTATGAGCAACTATGTTAGGGGGCTGATTTCTAATTAAAAATGTTATACAGCTATAATGATTTTTTTTCAAATCCAACCATTCTGAAAAAATATATAATAAAATACAAGTCTCCTTAATATCCCATACCCTCTGAGTCCTTCTCTGGAGGCAATTACTATTCACAAATGTCTTATGTATCTGAATTTAGATATAGAAACTAAGATAAAGACTATCTTTAAACTACCTTAAAAATTTAAGATCAATGAATGGCAGGTGAAAACTCTTTGTTCTTCCACCATTGAGAGGTGCCATCCAATTTTTAGAATCTGGGTTGGTTTTAGTGACTTGAATAAGCAATAGAATGTGACAGAAGGAATGTTCTAGAACCGCCAAGGCCAGGTTATAAAAAGCCTGGCAGCTTCTACCTGGGCCTTTCAGAATGTTGTGTGTGGGAGAAGCCAGCTGCCTTCTTAGAAGTCTTACTACTCTGAGATTGCCAGGCTATAAGGGAGCCCATGATTCCTATAGGAAGTGCCACTTGGGGAGAAGAAGAAGAGGGGAGAGAGAGATCTCTCTGGCTAGCCCTCCAGCTTCTAACTACCCCAGCCTAGACACCAGACTTGTGAGTGAAGAAGCCATATTAAATATGAATGTAGTATGGAAATGAAAAGAAACCTAACCACCAGCCAGACAGATGGCCCCTTCAAGCCACCCAGCTAACTCCAGTCATTCACTCTACCTTAACTAAGATGCCAGTTATCTGGAGTAGCAGCAGGCCTTCCCAGGTTTATCTTGCCCAAATTTTTCCTGCACAAAGTCAAGAGCATAAAATCTTGGTTGTTTTGAACCATTAAGCTTTGGAGTGGTTTGTTTTGCAACAACAGACAACTGAAACGGTATCCTTCCAGAATTTTTCTATGCATATATAAGCATACCTTTTTCTTTCTACATGTAGCCTGAGACTTAAGTGTTTTGTTATCAAATATAATGTTCTATCTTTCTAAATCAGTGCATACAGACTTACTTGATATTGTTGAACTTTGCAGACTACTAAACCAGTCCCATAATGGACATTTAAATAGTTTTAATTATTTTGATTTTACAAACAATACTGACTGAACTAAATCTTTGCATACACGTATATCTGTAGGACAAATTACTATAAGTGAAATTTCTAGATCAAAGACACTTTGCTTTTGTAAAGGCAGTTCTTAATTCTCCTCTTAGAAACCTTCTCTCTCCTTTAATAAGTAAGGCCAACCTCAATTGTTGCCTAGTCTGTGAACTCTCCCAAGATTCTTCCAGGTAGAATGAATTACTCTTCTTTCCTGGTTTCCCTGAACACAATGCATTTTAACTATTTCCACTAGTAGAGTATGAACTTCCCAAGAGTACGGTGTAAGCCACAATTATCATACAACCTGAACCACCTAGTAAAGTGCCTTACGCATGCTCTTACTCAAAGGTTGTAGGATGAATAAATGAAGTAATGGATAGATGCACTTGTGTAGATTGTGACAAATGGACCACTAAGCATCAACAGCAGCAGTAAGAACAGCCTGAACTTCTAGCACTGTAGTGACTTATATGACAGAGCTTTGTCCTAAAAGCAGCTCTGGTTTGTTGACCAAATTGCCATGCAGTTCAGTGTTATGAAAGGTAAAATCAAAGCAGATGCCAAGGCCCCAGTATACATTTGAGGGAAATACTAAAGTTCACCAGGGATGTCCTTCCACTGGGCTGGGGAGCCTCAGGGAAAGCAGCTGACCCTACAGAAGAGAGTACACAAGAAGATTCAAAGGCTTCAGAGGAGATGTTAAAGTAATGTGTCCACTTAGGTGTCCTGTCAGCCAATTATTTGTGCTCACACCAGAGTCTTGGGGAGAAGGTGCACAATAAAAGGTAGATCTCTTTCAATACTGTTGTGATTCGTAGACTGTCAGAGTTCTAATACTTTGTCTTTGATTTTTCTAATGGAGAATCCAGCAAAGTTACTGGGTTTATTTATTCACTCATTCAACGAGTACTTATTAAGAGCCTATTGTGTGTCAACACTGTTCTAGGTATTGAAGATACAACAGTAAATAAAACAAAGTCCCCCTTATTGTACAGCTTACTTATAGTGTGAGGAGGCAGGAAAAGAACCAAGAAATAATGATTTGTAAAAAACCAGTCATTTTTAAAAAATTAGTAATAAGAGCTAAGAAGAAAAACAAAGGATGGTAAAGGAGAAAATGATGAGGCAGAGTGTTATATAGATTCATAAAGGGAACAGGGGAGCTAATGGTAAGAGGTAAACCCAAAAAGGGGTCATGAGACTAGATCACAATAGGGCTGCACAGGTCACCATAATGATTTTGGATGTTACACTAACTCAGATGGAAAGACTTTGGGAGACTTTGAGCAAGGAGTATCGTAATCTGATACCAAAATAATAAATGAAATACATAACATTTCTCCATAGTAATCACATAACACTCCTCCACAATGATAATGACCAATTAGGAAAATACAATGGGAGAAAAAGATCTCATTCCCAATAATAACCAGAAAGTAACAATGAGGCAGTTAAGAAGAAATCCAACCAAAGATGTACAAGACCTGAGAAAATTACAAAACTTGATCAAAGGACATAGAAGATCTTAAGTGGAGAGATACACCCAATTCAAGAATGGAAAGATTTAGTATCATAAAGATGTTATTTCTACCCAAATGAATGGAGGTAATCAGTGTAATTCCAATCAAAAAATTTTATGAAAATTGACAAACTGATAATAAAATTCATATGAAACAGTCAAGGTATGAATATAGCTAAGACATTCCAAAGAAGAGTAGAGGATGAGGCAGCAGAGTGGAGAGAAGAGGAATTGCCTTTCAGGTAACAGGACTAATCGTATGATAGCATATTAAATTGCAGTCATTAAAACATGGTTTTATCTATGCAGGAATATTCAAAAAGAACAACAGAGCATAATGGAAATCCCAGACACAATCCTATGCTTGTAAAAGAAAACAAAAAACCAAGAAATAAAAAACTGGGTATGAGAGGGAAGGCATCATAAATAGCAGAAAACTGATACATAGTAAATTGTGTTAGAATAGGTCAATTTTCCATGGGAAAAGAATAAGTTAGATGTCTTTCTCACAGGGGCGCCTGGGTGATTCTGTCCGCTAAGCTTCCAACTCCTGATTTCTACTCATGTCATGATCTCACAGTGGTGAGATTTTGAGCCCCTCTATAGGGCTCCAAGCTGGGCATGGAGCCTGATTACAATTCTCTCTCTCACTCTCCCTCCGCCCCTTCCTTGCTCGCTCTCGCTCACGCTCTCTCTCAAAAAAAAAAAAAAAAAGTCTATCAGACAGTAAGCAAAACGAAATTCCAAATGGATTAAAGACCTACAAGAAAAAGTAAAACTTCAATGAAAATAAAAACATATTTTTATGATCCAGGATCAGAAAGTTGATCATAAAAATAACATATATAACACAGAAAAAAATTAATAATTTCATAGAATAAAGAAAATTATAAACAAAAATAAAGACAAGCCACATATTTGAAGGAGATATTTGCAACATATATAAGCAGTGAAAAATCAGAATCTGTTGTATATAAAGATTTCCTACAGATAAATAAGGACTAACAACTCAGTAGAAAAATGGGCAATAGCTATAAATAGTAAAACACAGGAAAAGAAACTAAAATATCTAATAAAAAGGTAATTAACCTCACAGATAATCAAGGAAAGGTATGTTAAAATTTCATGATGTGATACCATTTTGAACTCACCATGTTGGCAAAAATAAAATGTCAAGGGAAAAGGACATGGGAAAAGGAATTTAGGTGCAGAGCTGGTGAAAATACAACTACTTTAGGGGGGTATGGCAATATGCATGAAGTGAAAAATCTGCAATTACTTTAAGTTTATTTATTTTGAGAGAGAGAGAGAGAGAGTGTGTGTGAGCAAGCAGGGGAGGAGCAGAGAGAGAGAATCCCAAGCAGGCTCTGCACTGTCAGTGCAAAGCCTGACATGGGGCTCAAACTCACAAACCATGAGATCATGACCTAAGTCCAAGTCAAGAGTTGGACGCTTGACCCACTGAGCCACCCAGTTACCCCTGCAATTCTTAAGACTAAGCAACTCCATTGTTCTATGTACACCCTGGAGAAACTCTAGACAGGTGGATATAGATGCATGACAAAAATGGCCCCTGAAGCCCTTGTGTAGTAGCAAATTATATGAAACAACAGTGTGCTGCATGTCTCTTCTCTACCCTCCCAGATTCAGAATCCACCCTTCTCCAGGATGCTATGCCCTGGGAAGCTAATCTTCAAGGAGTATGGCAATGATTCCCTTGGCCCTTTGTCTTCCAGTTGGGACCATCCAATGAAGAACCCCAACAAAAATCAGAGGAAGAAAAGAGAATGCAGTCAAGGTGTTCACTCTCTTTTTGAGGAATCACAAGAAAATATGTGGCTGCATCTCTATGAAGGATACAGCTCCTGCCAGGCCTCTCTAGACAGCTCTCTCTCTGGGAACAAACAGCCTGTGTCAGGCACAGGGTTGGTAATAGGTGCACTGTTCCTTCTGCAGGATATTATACCCTCCCTGCTGTATCCTGAAACCTTGCCCACAGAGTCGTAAACAAATCTTTTATTAAATTCTCCTCAATTACCCAGCATGAGTGTGCCATCTCTTTTCTGTTGTGACTCTGATGGATATAAACCTATATGTTTATCAACAGAAAGGCATAAATTCTGATATACACATATAATGGAAATATTTAACAGCAATTAAAATTCGTGACTAGATCTCCATGTGTCAAGAAGACTAGATCACAATAGAGTGGCATGAAATAGTTACAAATTGCTTCAAGGAGTATAATATATATAACATACAAATGTTTAGAATTTTAAATGCATACACCCATACATATGTTGTTAAAAGTATAAAAATAGGGATAAAGGAACTGATGAACATCATGGTAGCAGATGTTTCCAGGGAAGGGTGGAAATAAGATTAGGAAAAAGATTCAAAGAGGACTTCACTGCTATTTATAATATTTAATTATTTCATAAGGGAAGAAGAAATGAGGCAAAACGTAATGCACATGAATTCTAAGTGGTAGGTGCATGATGTCTTTTATAGCATTACATATGCTATTGTCTTCTGTGGGGAAATAGGTTCTACTTACATAAATGGGTTAGAAAAAGGCCTAGGGTAGAAAGTCGCCACCACAGGGTGAACACACTTGAGGTTAGCTAGTGAGATATTGTAATGGGATCACAAATACTTTCTATCTGACTCTAATATACTATTGTACTTGGATCACAAACTCCACTTGCCCCTCCCAAGACCCTTTGCTTCTTATACACACAAGTTAATGATTACTGTCTTTTTTCTCCACGTTCACCATGTGGGTAATATCTTGTGAGCTCAATAAATACAGAGACACCTGTTCAGGGTTCTTCTCTCCTCCGGACATTAGCCTCTCTCGTATTCAATTGTGCATCTGCTCTCTTGCTGGATAAGAGAGAACTCCAGACTCATAGTCTGCAACAGTTTTTCTTTTCTGTATTTATAGCGCCCCCCCCCCAATTCAACACAAAGCACTATGATAGTAGCAGGTAACAAAATTTGGGGTGGACACTGGTTTTCCATTTTTCTGGTGTCAAAACAAGGAGTGGTGACAAGTCACAAGCATTTCAGGGAATCACATCAGAACTTGTCAGAGTCCATGTGGCCTTCTCTGTAGAGACTGGTGCCACATGCTTCCGGGAGTGCTACTGTGGAGAGTGCTCAAGAGCCATCTGCACACCGTGCATGTCAGTCCTAGAGAAGAGAGATGAGCGAGGCCCTCAGGTTTCCACTCTGCTGCCCAAGAGGAGTAAGACAGAAACATACCGTTCTGTCCAAATTCTTGAGAACTAGGCTACTATGGCTTGGAGTGGCTGGGATTCCCAAAAAAGTAATAAGGGTCTTAAACAGTTACAATATGTGATTAATGAAAAGGAAACACCAATCAGACAGCTCTCTTCTTAGGGCCCTGGGATGTTTACCCCATTAAACTATAAATACAAAACCTTCACTCTCATTCAAAGCCCTGCTTAATGGTAGATATAATCTAACTCATTTTTCCTTGACCAACTCACCTGCCTTTAAACACCTGCTGCACAAACTATTAAGGCAAGCACTCTATATCCCCTCACTGAGCTTGGCTCTGAGTTGCTGTCTCTGGCCCTCATAGAACATCTTCCTCACTTCTACAACCGGCTCTCTCAGCATCCTGAAGCCCTCTTCTAAAAAGTGGTCATAATTTAATCTCTCATGCAAACTTCTTGTACTCAATATAAAGGCTCCATAAGTATGTGCATTTTAAACTTTTTTTTTAATACAAGTGTCATATTCTTTAACATTGTACCCCTTCATTATATACTTAAGGTCATCAGATACTAGAATGTCAGTGATTTATAGTGGGATAAGAGTTTGGAACCGTATAGATGTTTCTAACTAATTATATGATCCTGGATAAGATGCTTCAACTGCCTGGACCTCAGTTTCCTCCCTGTTAAATGGGAGTAATAGTACCAGCCTCGTAGCAGAGTATATTACAGTCATGGTTTACACCTATTGTCCTGGTATACCATCAAGTCTGGCATTTATCCTATTGTTATTGTTTTCATTTTTAAACTATTCTTATTGGGGTGCTTGGGTGGCTCAGTCAGTTAAGCATCCTAATTCGGCTCAGGTCATGATCTCATGGTCTGTGGGTTCGAGCCCTGCATGGGGCTCTGAGCTGACAGCTCAGAGTTTGAAGCCTGCTTCAGATTCTACGTCTCCCTCTCTCTCTTTGTCCCTCCCCCACTTGTGCACACACACTCTCGCTCTCTCTTGCTGTCTCTCAAAAGTAAACATTTAAAACAATAAAATAAAATATTTTTATCAACACTTGCATTAAAGTAAAACCAAAATTGTTTAACTAGATTCCAGTTTCTTCTAATATTGCAGTAAACCACACTGTACTTCAAGTTTCTGCCATGGACTTATCTACTAATATGTGAGACACTTGTGCAGACAAGAGTTCTATTTTATTTATAATAATCCAAAACTGGAAACATCCCTGGAAACCTTTCCCATTAATAGGTGAAAAGTTAAACATATTGTGATATATCCACATGATGGAATATTCCTCAGTAATAAAAAGGAATGAAGTAATGACACACGTAACTAGGATGAGTCTTAAAATAATTATGCTGAATGAGAAACAAAAAGCATGCTGTAGGATTCCATTTTTATGAAACCCTAGAAAATGAAAACGAATCACTGGTTACAGAAAGCAGATCAATGTGGTTGCCTCGGGCAGAATGGGGGAAGGTGGGAGGGTCAACAGAGAGAGATTACAAAGGGGTACAAGGAAACTTCTAGGGGCTGATGAATATGTTTATTACCTTGATTGTGGTGATAATTTCACATGTGCACATGTGTCAAAATGTATCAACTCTATGCACATTCTTGAAACATGTGCAGTTTATTATATGTCAATTATACCTCGATAAGCCATTAAGAAAAGAGTTCTCACTGTAACATGGGGTTAAATCTAGAATCAACTAGTATCAACTGATGCTGTTTTCTAGATACTTTCCTGTCTTGACAGGAATTCTATTTCACTTACAAGGATGATATCGATGACACTCCCTAATGCCACTAGCTTCAGACACCTACCCCTGGTCTCAAATGGTGGTAAGAGTATTCTACACTGCTATTTCAGCCAACCAGCTGATACGCTAGTCAGCTGGGTTATGGTCCATGTGTTAGCCTGTGAAAGGCACAAAGTTGATAGTTCACCTGTCAGCTGAGGTGATGGGAAAAGGGGCGAAGTACAATTAGCTATTTATGAAATGTGTATAGGAAATAAAGGCTGAGCAGTCCCACTGGAGAGCAACTGAGTGTAGTCTGCATACTTTTGTTATGGTGGTTTCATCATTTATTGTAGTGAAAAGCTGCAGCTATTTAATTTTTTGGTAATGCTTTGTAATATTGCAATGAACCATTTGATAAAAGTGAGCTCAAAAAAAAAATGAAATAACATATATACAATGGAATACTACTTGGCAATGAGAAAGAATGAAATCATGCCATTTGCAGCAACATGGATGAAACTGGAGGTATTATCCTAAGTGAAATAAGTCAGTCAGAGAAAGACACATTCCATGTTTTTACTCCTATGTGGAACTTGAGAAACTTAACAGAAGACCAAGAGGGAAGGAAAGGGGAAAAAAATAGTTAGAGAGAGGGAGGGAGGCAAACCATAAGAGACTCTTAAATAGAGAGAACAAACTGAGGGTTGATGGAGGTGGGGGAGAGGAGAAAATGGGTGATGGGCATTGAGGAGGGCACTCGTTGGGATGAGCACTGGGTGTTGTATATAAGCTACAATCATGGGAATCTACCCCCAAACCAAGAGCACACCGTACACACTACATGTTAGCCAATTTGACAAAAAATTATATTTTTTTTAAAAAATGAAAATACATAGTAAGAAAAAAAGAAGTTCCATTTCAAAAGAGGATGGAAAACTGGAACAGAATGTTTGTAGACATTTACCATCCACGACGGGATCCATGATGAATCTTTGACCACATGAACACCAGAGACCTCAAGGTGCCTCAACAGTATCAAAATCTATTTGAAAAACTGATTATTTTCTGAAAATGGTGCCTGAAGATGATGGCATAGCATGTGCAGCTACATAAAGTATTTATGTATTGCTCTGTGATATATAACTTTGAAGCAAAATAGTTGTTCCTCTAATTTTTTCAATTCCAAGCTTTTTTTTTTATTTTTAAATGTTTATTTATTTTTTTTAAAGTTTTTTTTTCAACATTTATTTATTTTTGGGACAGAGAGAGACAGAGCATGAACGGGGGAGGGGCAGAGAGAGAGGGAGACACAGAATCGGAAGCAGGCTCCAGGCTCCGAGCCATCAGCCCAGAGCCCGACGCGGGGCTCGAACTCACGGACCGCGAGATCGTGACCTGGCTGAAGTCGGACGCTTAACCGACTGCGCCACCCAGGTGCCCCTGTTTATTTATTTTTGAGACAGACAGAGAGAGAGAGAGAGAGAGAGAGAGAGAGAGAGAAAATAAGTGGTGGAGGAGTAGAGAGAGGGAGACACAGAATCTGAAGCAGGCTCCTGGCTCTGAGCTGTCAGCACAGAACCCAACGTGGGGTTCAAACCTGTGAACCAGGAGACCATGACCTAGCCAAAGTCAGATGCTTAACCCACTGAGCTACCCAGATGCCCCCTCATTTCCAAGTTTTCTTGTGTACGTAAGAAAAGTGAAGCAATACAATGAACTGAATGCTTGTCTGACTGGCGTTGATTTGCAAACAGTTAAGTGATCACTGTCAAGGATGCTACAAAGAGAAGTCAGTTAAGTGAATGCCAATAATCATTTGACTCCTTATATACTTCGTGGGAAAGGAGCTTTGGGAGGTTTACTCTGTCTTCAGTGAAACAGCTGACAATAGTGTTGATTGCTATGTATGGAACAGTTAAAAAGTCAACATTAAAGACAAAAGTATTGGGGCGCCTGGGTGGCTCAGTTGGTTAAGCGTCGGACTTCAGCTCAGGTCACGATCTCACGGTCTGTGAGTTCCAGCCCCGCGTCAGACTCTG